GGATGGATGGATGGATGGATGGATGAATGGGTGGATGGATGGATGGGTGGATAGATGAACAAATGAACGAATGAACAAATAAATGGACTGTGGATCTCAGTTTCCCCAAGCACAGAAAGGAGTCAGGTTGGCTTGTGGCTTTCTCTCATGAGGTCCTCCCTCTGCCATTCCCAATTTCTCCTGTGGTGTCTGGACTTCTCTGTGATCATTCTGCTGGGGACTCACACCGAGGATCATGATGTTCCTCATATCCTTGACCCTCACTGGAACTGGAAGGAACAGGAGCTGTGCCCTGCCCCCATTTCAGGGACTGGAGACCAGAAATCAGTCCAGGATTATGCAGGGTGCTCCTGGGATCCCATCACAGGTCCGAGGCACACAAAGCCAGGCCTCCTGAGCTCACCATGACACATGCAGCTGGCACAGAGTGGTGGGCCCCTTGACCACTTGCGTGCCCCGGCTGCAGCCAAATCAGTGAGCTTCTTCACAACAGTGCTCACACCACCTGACCCCACCCTGCCCAATGCCACGCCCACCAGTGGCTCACTGTTGTTGCTCGAGTATAACTTCTCTAATACATCAAAGGAGACAGGAGCTTGGGACCCTGCAGATCAGAAGGGGCTTGTTATGGTTTATGTCTGTGTGTCTCTCCCCAAAGCCTCCTGCGGCCCTGGGGCAGGCTATTAGAGTTTGAATATGGGTGTGAGAGCTGCACCCGCCCAGGGAGTGGATAGTTTGCATATGTAAGGGACAGGAAAAGAGTGCTTGGGGCATTCCTCCCCCATTCCGCCCTAGTGTGCTTGCGGCTTAGCTGTGTGCTGCCACCCCGAGATGCAGCTCTCTGCAATGTGCCACTCTGCCTTATAATCCTGCCAAGTATGGATTAGACCTTCCATGAACTGTAAGCGAAATAAACCTTTCCTTCCTTAAGTTTGGGCGTCAGGTATTTTGTCCCAGCAGCGAGAAAAAAGTAACCAAGACAGGGCTACACACCTGTACTTCTCAATGGACCCGCTCAAGGGTCCCCTCCCCTCTTGGATTTCCCCGTGGAGAGGTGACGGGCACCCGAGAATTGGAGCTGACACCTCTCTTTATTCATGTATCCCATCACCCACTGCCTGCTTTCTCCAGTCTGGGGCAGGCTGACCCTTTCTCCCCAAACAGCCCCACACCCAGGCCCCCCGGCTGCAAATGGGTCCTCTGCCCAGCTCAGTCTCAGGGCAGGTGGTGTGGCCAGCCCCTTCACATCCGGGGAGATCGAAGCTAAGAGCACAGAGCCAGCAGCCCAGGGCACGCACGGCTTGGGTCCCACTGTGCCTTCAGCGAGGAGGGAGGACTTGGTCCGGGCTTCGAGGGCCCTCGCCGGGCGGTGGCTGACTCTGGCCACGTCGCAGGGAGCTGCCGATCTGGTGTCTGAGGGCCTCCAGCCTCTGGGCCAAGTTTGCCACCCCAGCTCCACCTGAGGAGCAGAGAGGCTCGAGGCCTGCACTCCAGGGCCCTCGCCAACCTGGCCACCTGGAGTGGCACCCTCCCCTTCCACCCTCCCTACCTCAGAAGAGAATTTTAAAGTAGGGAGCTGCAAAGATCTGAGAGACACTGCTCAAGCCTACCCTGATCAGAGATGGGAAGCCTGCAGCCCACCAGGGCCCCTTCAACCTTTCCCTCACCTCTCAGCACAGGTGGCGTCTTAGGGGGCCCCACAGGCAGTGGGGGAGCCGAGGGGACCACCTCCTCCCCGGTCAGCATCTCTGCCAGCACTGCGGTCTGTGTCCAGCTGCCATGGCTCCTGGGCCAGGTGAGTAGGGACAGCAGATGAACCTTTATATCCCCAGACCCTTTTCTCTCTCACCCAGTGCCCCTGGGCTGGGCCCACCTTTCTCTCAGGCACTTGGCAGAGCCAGGGCTGCACGGAGGTGCCCAGGGTGGGGGACGGGTAGAGAGAGGCATGTCACCTGAGGCCTTGGGGTCCAGCATCTGCAGGAAAGACCAAGCCCACAGTCAGTGACCCCCAGCCAGGGTTCTAAGTATTCCACCTCCCTGGTGTCGGCTATGCCCTCCACGCCTGCCCCACAGGGTACCAAGAGTATCAGGCCAGAATGAAGGGCTCCTGGTTGCCTTCTGCTGTGGCTCCTGTAATGCCCTCTCCTGAGACTGGGCATCCCACACCCTGGGCAGAGGGAGCCCCAGACACCCTTCACCCACATCATCCAGCCTGGAACCCTGGTTTCCCTCGCCGAGCCTCAAATCAAATCCCTAGTTCCCCTCACCTTCACCTGGGCCCTTCTTACCTGCGGCAGCTGGGCCTCCCTCTGAGCGCACGCCCAATGGGCCAGGGGTGCTCGGCACAGGGGGCAGAGGTGGCAGCATGGGCAGGAGCAGAGGGGTGGCAATGCCTGCAAGAGGGTGCTTCAGTGGCTCTGTGACATCCCAGCCTGTCACCCTCCAGGTTGGGTGGTGAGACTCACATGGCAGGGGGTAGCTGGCAGCATCAAGCAGGGACACAGTGGGGTGGCAGCAGGGCCGGGGCGAGCACAGTAGGCAGAGAGGAGGCGCCTGGGAGGAAAGGTGAGCCTTGCTTGCCGCCCTTGAGACCCAGGCTGGTCTCCAGGTCCCCTTTTCAATAGTGACTCCTGGAGCACCTGCTCTGGGCCAGACCTGGCTCTGTTCTCCACAGGCTACAATCGAACTCATTCCCTTCAGGTTTTAAAGTGCCCCGTGAAGTGGGCAAGTCAGGGCCCCTATGCTACAGAAGGGGGAAGCCTGGGCACTGGGGGCCCAAATGACCAGCCCGAGGTGACACCACCAGGAGGTGGTCAGGACCCAGAGGTCAGGCGCCTACCCATCGTGATGCCCCCTTGGCCCGCAGCCTCTGTCTAAGGCCTGCTCACCTCTCCAGTTCCTGGACCTGCTGGGCTAGGACCTGCTGCTCACCCCAGGCCAGGTCCCGGCTCCTCTGCAGCTGACTCATTTCCTCCCTGGGGACAGCGAACCCAGGGGGTGAGGCAGGATGGGGTGACAGGAGGCAGGGCTGCTGGTGTACCAGTGAGCCTCTCCTCAGCACAGCAGAGTGCCAGCCCAGGAGACAGGAAGGGACGGAGGGGAGCCAGGGGGCAGGAAAGTGGGGGCATCCTGGTCCAAGCACCTGGCAGGGAGGGGTGGGGACAGAGTGCCCAGGCTGTGTGCTGGGCCCTACCTGAGCCTCTCATTCTCCACCATGAATTCCTGCAGCATCCCACAGAGGTTCCGCTGGGCCCAGGAGCCCCGTGCCCCCTGGAGCCCTGGGGCTATGGGGAAGCAGGAGGTGGCTGGATCCACAGGAGCTGCAGAACCCATCCTCATCCTGCCTCTGTCCCCGGGAGCGCATACCCTTGGGGTCCAGCTGGAACCGCAGGCTACGCTTCTCCTCCTGGAGCTGCAGCATTTCAGTCTCCAGGCGTGGGGGCTGCTTTGCCACAGGGGACTGCAGGAGAGAGGCCCAAGGCCATCCTCTAGGGCTGCACAAGCTGTGCACTGCACAAGAACTGTCAGGTGTGGTAGCAAAGGGTGCCCCAAATCCAGCCCATGCTTCACCGGCTGGCCTTGCCTCCATCTGAGCGGCAGCTTGTTGAACCACATCATCCCGAGGGTCCCAATCCTCGCTGCATCCTGTTCTAAGTGCAACCCCAAGCTCAATTTGGTCCTAAACTCCACCCAGGTTCTGACCCCAAGAATGATTCCATATCAACCCAGCCTGAGCCATGATCCAAACTAAGATCAGAGCTAAACCCTGAGTCGTATCCCGACTCAGACCCCAAGCCTAGACCTTCCCAAACCCTGACTACTGACCTCGGCCGGGACCCTGACCCCCTCCTACTCAACCATGGTTATACCATTTCTAGGATTCCAACCCAAATTCCAACTCAGACCCAGTCCCAGAGTTTAACCATGATGCCAGCTCAAGCTCTGAAGATACCTGGCCATGGGAGACCATGGCCTCCTCCCGTCCCTCTGTCCAAATCTCCCTCCATTCACCTTGGGGGCCTGCGGCCGGGTGGTGACCCGCTGAGCTCGGCTTGCGTATCGTAGGGTGCTGAGAGTCTCAGGAAGGCACTGGGCAGAGGGAGACACGCAGGCCACCTGGGAAGGACACCCCCTGAGTGCTCCCTTCAGGAGTCCCTTCCTCGGGACTATACCCTCTCTGCAGCACCCCTCGGGTACCATGAGGGTGACCCCTCGGCCCCCCAGTGAGTCTGCCAGCAACTTGGTGAGCTTGCTGTCCCGGAAAGGAATGTGGTTCTGCTTCCGCTGTGGGTCCAGCAGCAGGGAAATGCAGTGACCTGGGGGGGCAGAGGACACAGCAAAGCCCAGAAAGGTTAGCGTACTCGTCCAAAGCCATCTCGCTGGAACACTGTAGGGCTGGGATATCCACCAGATCCAGGTGACTCTACAGCCATCCGTCCACGTGATCTCCTGACCCACTCACTGGTGTTCACTACCAGACTTAGGATCCTCAGGGTGCACAGTTGGCCCTGTCCACCCTGATCTCCAATGCCCAGTACAAGGTCTGGCACATGGCAGGGGCTTAGGGAACGTCTAACCAATGGCTGACTGCACAGGAGTCTCAGGAGCAGCATCTATGCCTGACACAGATCTTGGGATCTCAGTCTAATAACCAGGGTGGAGCCCAGGTCCCTCCCTTCCCCTTTCTGGGCCTCAGTCTTCCCAAGGGCAGGAAGGACAGGCTGAATGCCACTGAGAGGTCACACTCTGTGGTGTGGTACTTCTACCTCCTGAGTTAGGACGTAACTCTCAGGCCCTGACAGCATATGGAGGGATGGCGATGCTCTGGATGGGGACCGGTCAGCAGCCGAGTCATAGCCAGAGGAGGCCTGTGGCTCCCGGACCACAGCTCTCAGCCGCCACCTATGCACTGCACTGCCTCTGGGCCCCGCTGTGCGGTTCCCAGGTCTCACCCAGGGCCAGCAGGCTGCGGTTGATGCTGTTGGCCTCAAGCATCAGCTCCCCACGGGATCCTGTGGTCGCCACCTTCTCACTGCCGGCCAGGTCCACAAAGCACAGCTTCCCACCAGCAGGGAGCTCCCCGGGACCCATGGGAGGCATCTGCTGGGGCTGGGGCTGGGACACAGGGCTTGATGGGGACTTGCGAGGGACTGTCCCCACTGCAGTCACAAGGCCAAGAGTGCCCGGCAGCGGCAGACCCTTGCAGGGTGGCCTGGGGCACTCACCCTGGGGCGGCTGATGTAGAGCGTGAGCAGTGCATGGCTGCGGCTGGAGGCCTGGTTGAGAGTGTGAGCGGAGCTCCTCCTTCGGCTGAGACCTGGAGGGAACATCAGGAGCTGCACACTGCAGGAGGCACAGGCCATGAAAGGAAGAAAGAGCAGCAAAGGCACGGGCAGATGGGTGGCAGAGCAAAGGCACAGACAGGAAGCAGTGTTGGTCCCAGGCAGGTCTGGTCCAGCAGTCAGGGGCCAGGGGGATGGGCAGAGCGGAGTACGGGAAAGACAGATTCTCATCTCCTAAACACTGCTCTGTTGTTATAGGAAGGGAGAGACCCGGAGGCAGAGAGATCAGCTGAGAGGAGCGGGCCACGCGGGGGCCAGAATCCAGAGTCTCAGTGTCCTTTGTGCCTGCCAGGGGGAGCTGCTCAATAAATCCTGAGGAGTGGGTGAGGCTGGGAGGGGAGGGCCCCATGGGGTGGCTCAGAGGTATGACCTCTGCCCTCAGGGCATCAGAAGAGTGGAGGGTCTGGAGACAACAGGTAAGGGGCCTGCAGCACAGACAGGGGTTGGTGGGAGGAACTGGGAGGTGGCACAGAAAGTGGCAGGGGCGAGGTGGCACGGGACTGAAAGGTGCTCGGAAGGCACAATCAGCCAGCCCTGGGGACAGGGTGGGTACTGAGCCTTGGGCCGTGTCTTTGAACTGTAGCTTTGCAGGTGCTTCTCCAAGACATTGCTGAAGCCCCAGCTGCATCCGGAGCCCCAGCGAGGGCACCCGCGCTCCGGAGCCTCCCCGAAGGAGCCGCACCCATCTGCAGAAGTTCCATCAGGGCCTCCAGACTCCCGATCTCCACCACCCGCAGCTGCTCCACATAGAAGCCCCGGGTCTTGTTCCAGCGAACGGGGAGGGGCCGGGGGCACCCCACACTCAGCAAGTCCCGAACCTGGAGGAAGAGGTGCAGGGAAGGGCGCTCTCTCTGAATCAGCTCCGTCCAGCCCCAGCCCCTCTGGACAAGAGTCCCCACTTCCCTTCTGCCCTCCAGCCTGACCCCTTCCTTAGGGGCTGCCCTCCCCTGCACTCCTCACCTGCTCGTTGTAGATCTCCAGGTAGGAGGCGCGCAGGGTGACCGCTGCATCCAGGTGCTGCACGCGGTCCAACAGCCAGGTGAAGGTCCTCTGCATGATGCCAGCGAGGCTGGGGGGTACGGGCACCCCCTCCCCCTGAGGGCAAAGCTGGCTGAGCCTGTGGCCAGGTGGGCCGCTGTAGAAGCACGGTGATGAACTACTCTCTATTTAGGGCACTTACTGAACGCCAGGAACCGTGCAGCTGCCCCATATAATATCTCATCTAATCCTCACTGAACAGAGGAAGAAACCAAGAGCTAGAAAGGGGCCAAACTGGGAAAATCCCTTTCCTCTGGCCCGAAACGAAAGAGCCCATCACTTGCGGGGACCCAGGCAAAGTGGGTGTTGGCGCTCAGCTCACCTGGGGCGGAGGTCCGGTCAGCGTGTAGGTCTTCCCGGAGCCGGTCTGGCCGAAAGTGAAGACGGTGCAGGAGAAGCTGAGGGTGGTACGGGCGCGGTGGGACCCGGGCGGCGGCCGGGGTGGGGCCGACACGGGAGGAGGGACACCGGCCTACTCACCCGCGCAGGGCCAGCTCGCCCAGACGTCGCACGCCGCACGCCCGGAACACATCCTCCTGCGTGCGCGCTCCGTCCAGCACGGCGCCGAAGCGGAACGCCACGTCGGGGCCGCCGCCCGGGGGGCTCACCTGGGGCGGGGCGGAGCGGGCGTTCGGGGAGCGCCGGGCGGTTTGGGGGAGGGAGGAGCCTAAGGGAAGAATGTTGGGGGCGGGGCTTACGGGAGACCCCTGCTTGGGCTTTTGGAGGCGGCGGGTTCCTCACCTGCAGAGTCCGGGTCCCCGAGCAGTGCAGAGCGCTCTGCTCCCCTCGACGCAGCTCGGCCGCGCTCATGGGCCGCACCCTGGGATCCAAGCGAAGGCCGCATGATCCCTCCCGATGTTTGCATCCATCCCATCCTCGGCCCGGTTTCTCCTAGCTACCTTATACCCACCTGAGCACCACTTGGATGGGCGTTTCCTGCCCCTCTGGCCCTTGCTCCAGGCTCCGCGCGGGGTCCCTGTGGTAGCAATAGGAGTTGCAAAGCCGCGTCCCTGCCCCGCTGTCCACTAGGAGCGGCGTTCAGGGCTCTCCGACCCCCCAGAAGCTCGGTTTACCCGTCGGGAGAGCCGCGTTCCTCCATGTCCTGCTCTGAGCACGGCCTTGGCTCCGCCCGAGTCTCGTTCCTTTTCCTCTCCGATACCCGCCTTCTGCGGCACCCCAGGACTGGTCACGCACACCTTACACTCCTCCCCCGCCCCCGCCCCCAGGTCCTAGGCAACCATCCATCCGGAAAAGCTCCGGCCGCCGGTCTGGGGCTGGCTAGTTAAAGATTTACGCCCCATCCCCACCTCCGCGGTCTGGAAAATCTCAAGCCAGGGCTCTCTAGCTAGAGCGTCCTGGAGTCTGAGGCTCTCCTGCTTTGGGTCAGGCCATCAGGAGGGGGACTCACGGGACCACCCAGACCAGCCTTGTCTGGGCCCAGATGGGGGCAGGAAGCCAGGTCGCAGAGCCAGCCTGGGCGGAGAAGGACCAGGCTCTTGCTGCTCCCTGAGCACACCCTCCCTACCCTCCCAACTGCTCCAGCCTGTTCCCAGCTCAGCGCCCAGCGAGGGGAGGGGCTCCAGGGAAGACCTGAGAGCAGGTTGCCAGCACCTGCTTGGACACTGGGGCCTCTGCCTCGGCGAGGACGCCACATCCAGTCCAAGGCCGCACGGTTGGCTGTGTATCTCCCTGGCGTGGCTTCTGACAGCAGCAGAGAGGTCCCGGGAGGGTGTTGGGCAATCGCTCATCCCACCCGCGCTTCCAGCTCCTGGGCTGGCTGAGGAGGCAGGTGAGACCAATCCAGTGTGCAGTATGCAGGCCTCAGGTGGAAGGGGCAGAAGGCTCACACTTCAAGAAGGCAGGGGTGGGGTGCAGAGAGGCTCTCCCACTACTCCTGCAAGTGCCTCTCCTCCTAAACACACCTCAGGGTGACAAACCCTAAAAGTCATCCCAATTCCAGTGTTACACTCTGTACCACCACAGATGGCAGCAACTACCAGAGCCGCCTCTTAGGAGGGAATGAGCTATCTCGGGTGGCAGTGAGCTTCCCATGACCGGGAGGTGTGCAGGCAGAGCCGGTTGAGGTTTTAGTTACAGGACCTTCCAGCTGCTTCCCCAGGGAGGGCTCTGTAGAGCAAAGAGTCACAGCCCCCAGCTCTGCCACTAATTTGCCACCCAGTCTTGGCCTTTCTTAACCTCTGCCCTCCTGTGAACAGGGGTTAATGATCTCTCTCCTATTTTACATGGTTGCTCGGAGATTCCAACTTGATAGTGTAATTAAAAGTGATCCTTAAATTGTAGAGAATTACCTAAAAACATAAATAAAAAATCCCTAAATGATCTCCAAGATCATTTTCAACGCTGGATTTCTTTCCTGTGTTGTATTTTTCAAATCCCTGAGGTGAATAGGACAGGAATTACTGTCCCGGTTTTTCAGATGGGGAAAGAGGTAAGTGGGAGATAATATTTCAGGAAAAATCAACACTCCGTGGCAGGCCCAAGAGTTTTAAACTAGGAACTACTCGCTGTAAGTCCCCCAGCTGTCTGCTTGGGGAGGCTGCCTTTTTCGTTGTAAATCCAGTAAGTGAACAAGTTGACTCATTAAAGACCTTTAAAAGTGCTCAGGCCCATCAGTCATTTGCACCTCCATGTGCATTATTTAATCAGATTGCACTTCTGTGAGCTGCCCTGGGGGTTCTGATGAAAGTACAAAGACTGAGTGAGAGTGTGTTAAAGATTGGATAGCTGTTCAGTGGCAATTTTGCACCAGGGTTCCCAATCTGGGTCAGCATATGTGCATCCTTGACTGCCACAAGCCGCAGCCAGGTTCCACTTCTGTGCTCTGACAGTGAATGCATACAACTGCTTCCCTCAAATTGAGCATTTGTGAGCAGGCTTTTACTAAGCCCCCTCTATATCCCAGGCTTCCAGGCACTTACATTAGTGAACAAAGCAGATATAAATCCCTGCCTTCTAGTGAGGTGGAAAAAGACAGAAAAGAAAAATAAGCATAGAAATATTTTATGTTAAGAGCTTCTGTGCTATGAAAAATGCCAGTCAGGAGTGAGGGGGACTGGGAGTGTTGGGACTGGGAAAAATTGTAGTTTAAATAAGAGGGCCATGAAATACCTTATCAAGAAGGGAACATTTGCATAAAGACTTCAAGGAGTAAAGTAAATTAGTTAAGCAAGCAAATATTTGGGGGAAAGGCTGGGATATAGCTCAGCAGTACAAGTGCCTGCCTGGCAAGTGTAAGGTTCTGAGTTCGATTCCTGGTCCCCCCCAAAAAATAACAACCAAAAAATATTTAGGGGAAGATGATCTCAGGCAGGAGAAATACCCAGTGCAGACAGACATTATGCAGCGGAGCACAGCTGAGGTGTTTAAGGAATATAAGAACAAGGTGCTGGAGCAGTCATTGAGGGAGGCTGGGAGACAAGAGGACCTAGAGGCTCGAGGGATCTGATCATGTGCCACACTTGCAGCCGCTCCACTTTGGCTTTTACTCTGGGTTGAAAATGGAGAGAAGTGGTCAGAACTTGAAGAGAGCTAACAACATTTGTCAAGATATCGGATCACGTATGTAAGAGAAGTAAGGATTAAATACAAGCTCCTGGAACATCTTTAACTATTGGATACCAAAGAAAGAAAAACTCTTATAAGCAGCTATATGAAAAAATGCACAGCCTTCAAATCAGCAACCATAAAACTAACAAACTTTTCCAATACAAATTCCAGACACTAATAGACAACAGAATTTGTGAAGAGCTGAACTTTGAGAAAGGGAGGGGCAAAAAAAGGATTAAGATGCAACATGTAAATGAAGCAATTTCTCATAATGAATGTATTTCTTATGTACCACAAACATATACTTAAAAAATTTGGAAAAAATTGAGTTTAAAATAAAGTCAGTGGGGATATAGCTCAGCGGCACAAGCACCTGCCTGGCAAGTGCAAGGTCCTGAGTTCGATTCCTGGTACCAAAACTTAGTTAATTAATTAATTTAAAAAGTCAATCTAGAGACATATGCCCATCAAATGTATCCTTCACAAATATAGGTAATGTAGCTATTTTTAAACAAGCAGAAGCTAATTTAGTTCATCTCTGATCAGTCATCACCACAAGAAAAACCAAAGGAAGTTGTTTTAGTGTTGAATGAAAATGATCCTATATAAAAACATAAAACTACAAGAAGAAATAAAGGGCACCAGAAAGAAGGGATATAAAATCTCTGTGGCTGCTTGGAAGAAACACTAATGTCCGGGTATCATCATTATAAATAACTGTACATGATAATAGTATAAAGGCTAGGAGGGCTGAGTGAAGTTAAGCTGTGGAATTGTGGGATTGGCTCTTCACTTGTTTGGGACATTATAAAAGCAATTTAAGGTAGATGTAATAGGTCAGGGATGCAAAATCTTTAAGGCAATGGCTTTAAAAATAAAAGTTACAATTAGAAAGCTGATAGCAGAGAAGAATGAATTAAAACTCCTTGATTGACTCTAACGGGGACAAAAAAGGAGAAACAAAATCACAGAGAACAAATGGAACAAACAGAAAGTAAAAACCAAGATACAATTAAGTCCATCTGTACCCGTAAATACAGTTGGCCACCTGCATGCTCAAGTTCTCAATCAGCAGATCCAACCAAGCATGGGTGGAAAATATTATCAGAAATGTATCTCCACTGAACACGTACAGACATTTCTTGTCGTTATTTCTTAAACAACACAGTATAACAACCATTTACATAGTGTTTATCTTGTATCAGGTATTTTAAGTAATCTAGACATGAAGTATATACGAGGATTGCATAGGTTGTATACAACTACTATGCTGGTTTATATGAGGGATTTTAACATAATGGATTTTAGTATCCTCAGGGCATCCTGGGACAAATTCTCCATAACTTCTAAAGGACAACTGTATGTTGATGGTAGTACAAAGGCTAAACATTCCAGATAAAAAAGACAAAGATTTTCACACTGGATACAAAAAATGCATTGATGTTTAAAAAATGCAAAAAGGCACACATCTGGAAGGCTGAGGCAGGAAGATCCACAAGTTTCAAATCAGCCTGGGCCACTCAGTAAGACCTTGTCTCAAAACAAGATATAAAAAGGACTGGGGGTGTAGCTGAGTGGGGGAGTGCCCCTGAGTTCAACCCCCACATTCAATCCTCAGTATTGCAAAGAAAAAAATTTTAAAGCAACAAGTCACTCAAATAGATAAGAAAATAAACATATTAAAAGAAAAATAGAAAAAGTTGTATTGCACAAGCCCTAACAAAAAGAACATGTGTTAACATCAGAAAAAGTAGATTTATAAGTAAATGGGTGCAACTTGAGACCATACTCATAAGTGAAATAAATCAAACTTCCATGTGTGAACACTGGTATCGTCTCCCTTGTGTAAGAAACCAAAAGAGTAAATAAGATCCAAAAGGTACAATAGATATTGTGAAAGGGAAAGAAACTACTCAAAAGGAAAGAACAACTGGGATGAGGGAAGAGAGAAAAAAAGGAAGGGAAAAAAAAAAAGAAAAAAATATATATATTTATACATATACACAAGATAGCTAAGATAAATATACCACTAATTTCTGTCAGTTCATTAAAAAGAATAATTTGTGCTTATATTGTTAAATTAATCTTTCATGCCTATATATTGTAATCTGAGCAACTACTTTGAAGATAACAATACACACACTAAAAAACCAAAAAAAAAAAACAAAAAAAGATAACAATACACAATGTATTAACCATTGTTAATTTATTGTCTTGTTTGAAACTCTGTATCATTGTTTTTATTTTTTTTGTTTAAAATAAAAAGAAGTATCAGTAGAGACAGTGAGATGTATTTTATGTGACCCAACAGGAAAGCATAATAATCTTACATTGTATTCATCCAATAATAGAACTACAAAATCCATCATCACAGATGATAATTGTAACACAACTCTTTCAGTAACTAGTAGAACAACAGGTGAAATTTCATTAAAGGTACAGGAGATTTGAGCAAAGCTGCTACGTGACTTGATCTACAGTACAGAACACTAAACTCAGTAATAGTAGCAAACACATTCTCCTGCACTCCACAGGAAACATTTCCCAGCATAGAGATTGGGTTGGGAAGCCAGCATAAAAAATCTCAAATGGGAAGCCATGCGGAGGAGAGCGCTGGCCTTTGGGCTGGACCCTAGCTGCACAGGCTCCTGGGCGGTGGCCAGATGGAGCTTGGGAAGCCGTGCGGTGCATGCTGGCCTTCAGGCCAGCCACCACCACCGTGTGGTCTAGAACTATCATGGCACAGAGAAGCAATGACACAATTGGCCCACCATATGTCTGCCACAGAGGCCCGCCCAGGGACATGGGTGAATCATCCCAACAAGGAGAAACCCCTGGGAAAACATGCCACACAACAGGTTGTTCTTACCCCTGCCACTGAGAACCAGAAAGGTCCAGAGTCAGCAGAGGAACAGCTGCTGACTGCTCCTCGGAAAACACGAGAATACAGACTACGCCCAA